TTGTAACTGTAATAGCAAATGATTACTAATAAAGAGTCCCCATGGCCAAAGAGGTCACCTTAACACCGAAAAAAAAATAATAATTTAAATTGTTTTAATATTGTTCAATTATATTTTAAATATGATATATTTCATTTTAAATAAATTTATGTATATGATTTAAATTATTTAGATCAATTTGATTTAATTCAAATTATTTTGAATTATTTTAAATTTTTTTAATTAATTTATCTTATTTCGAATTCATTTTATTCAAATTAGCTTTATTTAAATTTATTTAATCTTATTTATATTATTAAAAGATATATTTATTTACTAAATAATCATTAGATTTATCAAAGCATGGAATTATATGAACTTGATTTTTAATAGTTTTAATATTTATAATATAAAATAAATTAGTTTCTTTAAGTCTAGAACATTTATAATAATATAGATGCTTAGTAGACTTAAAGTTATACTACCAGATTAATGTAAGATTTTGCATATTTTCTTCATTCTGTTCAACTTTGATTAATAAATATATTTAAAAATTAAATATTAAATATTTAATATTTTAAAAATTTTTTAAAAAAATATAAATACAACAAATATCTGTTCATAACAAATTCCATCATCTGACAAATATTCTAAAAGTTCTTCAGTATTCATAGCAACTGCTATATTGCTATACCAGGCTTTTCTATAATAATTATCTGTTGCTCGAATTATAGACTCATTTTCTAAAGTCACTGAGCTATATATTTTAATTATATTGTTATAGAATGGATTGGATACCTCCATAAAACCCAGAAGATTGCCACAATCATAACAAGCTATAATATATAAGGAATGGACTAATAGTTGGTCAGATAATTAGAAATATACCTTTTATACTTTTTATATCTTTTAAGGAAGTGCAGTAAATCACATAATTAGGGTTTACATAGACTATACCCCTCCTTTCTCCTGTGTGATAAAGCAATTACTTCATATTACTACGAAATAATGACCATGGGCGTTGTTTTGAGGTTTAGCCCAAATTAAGCTTAATTTAGGCTAGAATTCATAATTTCACCTCTGTGTATTATTTTGTGATAATATATTTTTTTAAAAAAAACCCTAATAGTTTTGTTATCTGCCAAATCTCCAAAAATTAAAAGCAAATATTAATTATACAAAATTCATAAATATTCAATAAATTTTTAATTATATAAATTCATGAATAGTTGAAGTTAGTATTCTGTATGGACCAGTTCTGGGCAAGTTCTTTAAGAATTCATACCTGACTCGAAACTTGGAACTGACTCAAAAGACCCGAAATATATCCAATAAGCATGCATTATTTGATTTTGGTTCATGTCCAACTAAAGATCTAGATCTGAATTTTTAGCAAAATAACAGACCCAAAATCGAACATGGAGTCAGGTCCTGATCGGTTCTGTTCTGTAGAACACTAGTTGAAGTGAATAAGTTATAGCGGGTAAACATCACATAGCCAAAGGCTATGTTACCTCATGCAAATTTTTATTGCACAGCATCTAACATACAATTCTGTGTTAATAAGTAAATGAAAAAGTATGGGTTGTTACATAAGACTTATACAATAATCTAATCTATTTGTTTGGTTATTTCGAGTATCTATATAAAAATTTGAATATTCATACAATGCTACTCATCCAAACCCCATAGATATTTAAAAGAATTGGCCTCTAGCACCAAAAAAAATAGTATGCTATAAATTGAATTCTATAAAATAAGAATTTATAACAGATATTATATTGACGCCTCTCATATCTTTATTATAATAACCTTTAATCACAGTTGAATTATAAATGTAATTCATTCTATCAATATCTATAAATAGAAAAAACTAGAATATATTATTAATATTTCATGCTTTTTCAATTTCTAGATTATACTTGTAAGAAAAACTTGCTAACAAGTTTGATTTTCTTTCTATATTTTGGATGCATTAAACTAGTTGCAGCTATCAAAGACACAAAATATTGGTTATCAATTATACTAAAATTATTAATATTCAATGAAAAAAAATTATCATGTTTTATCCAGAATAAGATCTTTAAGATATCTTGTTTTTCAATTATAAACTAATTTAAAAAATAAAATTTAAATTATTGTCTTATCATATTAATTTTCTTTTAGAAGAATTTGTATAACTACATTCGTAGCTATTAAATCAAGCAAGTCCAAAGTCAAAGATATTTAAATAGAGAGAACAAAACTGACCTATAATTAATTTCTCTTATAATACGGTATATTAAATAAAAAAAATTCATGTTATTAGCTATTCAAAATGACACAAAGTTTTCTATCAATGCCAAATTTTTCAAAAACTTACTTGTACAATATATTACTCCTATAAATTTGTATTATGAATTTTACAATGCATTTGCATTTTTTACAATAGTCAAAGCTTGCAATTCAAAAATGAATCGGCAAAATTTAATGAATGCGGTAAATAATGAATGGTAGAAATGTCGAACTAAATCTGAAACAACCATTAGAAATCAAATAAGTCAATATTTTGCCACCAGTCTACCTATTATACAAAATGTAAATTTTTTTTATCTCCTGGTTCATATAATTCAAACTCTTTAAGTTCAAATTTAACAGTTTCTCAAAATTACTATGCCAATTCTTTATCTTCATATCTGTCTTTGCATCTGTCTAATAAAGAATGTAATATTGCTCCTAATACATCAGTACAACATCAAGCTTTAAACTTAATTAAAGAAGCTAAAGCTAAAGCAAGTAAATATGAAGGTTTATTATT